CCCGAGGCCTCTTCGGGCTGCTGCACACCCACCGCGGCTTTAACGCCTCTCTGACACTCGCAGCGCTAGCTGTTTGGCTTTTTGCCTGTGGCGAGGTGCCCTGAAACAAGGAGTGGAGGTTAAAAGCGCGATTTGAGCTGCGATGACTGTGTCGTGGAGCAGAAGAGAGCTTTATGGCAAAAGAGTAGCAGGCGGGAGGGCCACGAGTGAGGGTGTGCTCAGAAGGAATCGCCTGTGGCCCGAGCACAGTCAGGAAAACAGGAGGAAAAAGGATGCTGAACAGGTTATACAGCTTCTCAGGTCGTTTGGATGGGGAAGAGCTGAGAGGCTGCTAAGGGTCTTCAGACGAGAGAAGAGGTTTGGCTATGAGCAAGAGAAAGGCTGCAGATGGGTGTAGTATGCGTGGAGGAGAAAGTGGCACCGGAAGATTCAGGAGGCAAAACAGTGGAAGCAGCAGAGAAGGTGTAAAATTAGGGGAAGATGAAGTGAAGGAACCTGAGACTTGACAACTGTGACTTTTGTCAGTGGAAGATCTTGACAGAGTTCTCACTCCTGTATCCCCAGGATATGGTCAGTTGATTTGGTCACAAGCCTGTAACCATCTACCGTGTACTGTGATTGGCAAGAAAAGGTGTTGAGCAGACATGCAGCCTCTCTGAGAGAAGTCAGCTCTTTTTTCCCTCTGCGGTAGGCAAGAGTTACAGCCAGTGTAACTCTGCAGGGTTCCTGGAAAAGGACACTTTTAGCGAGTTTGAGAGTAGCTGGTAAAGCTGCCACAGAGTTCAGGATGCCAGAGGTGGAAGAACTGTGGCATGCATTTTAAACTCATGCAAATAGATGGTGGAGGAGAACCTTGGGAGGGCTGAGCAGTGTTGGGAGCTGAACTCTTCATAGTAGGTGAGCTGGGGGTAGTCTCTGAGGTCTTCAGAAATGAACAGTTTCAGGCTACTGTTGCAGAAAAAGAGGATCTGGCAGATGGAAGCACCATGGGTGTTATGTCACTGTAATGAGCTGGAAAAATGCACTTTGCAGCCGTGTTCTGGTGTAGGTGAGCAGGTTGAGTGTTCTCCCTGAGGCTGGAGGAAAGCATGTTGCAGCAATCAAAACACAAGCTGGCAGTGGCATAGGTGGGAATTTCAGCTGGTTTGGAAGCTTGTAAAAGCCATATGGAGTCATTAGAGCCTGAAGACCCTAGAGGGTGATGTGTGGAAGGTGATACACAGGTTACAGGTAAAGAAAGCAGGTGCAAAGTATGTGTAATCCTGGCAGGTGCAGTAGTATCCTGGACAGATTAATCCTATCAACTCCTTTTCAAAACTGCATTTCCTGAAAGTGATGTTGTTTTGCTGTTTCCTAGGCATAATGCTGGGTTTTGCCCATTCTTCAGTAGTATTTGTGTGTGTCTGTAAGAAAGCCCACACTGATGTATTAATACACATAAATTTACAGATTAATTCTTGTGATGAGAATCTGAACCGATGCTGTGAAATAATAGAATTGAACACTGAGATTCAAGGGCAACTCTTCACAATTCTCAATGAAACATCTCAAGAAGGTAAATCGATTTCCTTGTCTATTTCCTAGTGCTTTTCACATGTAACACTGGCTCTTTCTTTAAGTGTTCTCACATTTTCTTAATGTATGTATATATGTTTTAGGTGGGCATTATGCAGGTGCAGAAACAATAAAAACACGTCTCCTGCCATGGCTAGGGACTTGTTTTTCCTGTGCTGCTTCACGAAGGCTCTTTGGAACCAACTTTTCTCATACTCAGGTATGTAAGAAATTTATTTTAATGGAGTAGAACCATGTGAATTTATATCTGCAGAAGAGCTTTAATGACTTTCTGTTAATAATAACCTCCCTTCCTCCCTGATTTTGCATAAGAAAATGTCCTTAGTTGCTCCTGGAGACACCTGTGGAGACAACCATGCTATTATGGAGAAATTTGTGTTGTAAAAGAAGTCTATGTTATTGTACTGCCTTCCTTTTCTAGGTAAACATTTGCAAAATCATCATAGAAATGTTTATGCCATATCTCTATTAGTAAAAGCCTAACACTGTATGAAAATACACTTGTAAGATGAAGGTGTTAAGCTGAAGGTGTGTATAAACTCAATGCATTAATCTCTGAGCTCCTTTTATTTTTATTGAAGAGAAACTCTCCAGAAGGATTGAAAAAAAAAAGTATTCACGTCCATCCTGACTCCACCATGATCCTGATGTGATATTTGGTGTTAGTATGTATTTGATATTTACTGAAGTGATTGTATTACTAACAGTTTGGCAGAAAAGACAGATCTGCGTTGGCTGATATGGACTAGGGGAAAATACTCAAGATCCTGAGATTTGACAGTGATGACTCCATGTTCTTTGATTTCTCATTTTTATACCTCCACTGTCAAATTCTTTCATAATTAAACTAAAGGCAAATGAAATGTGATATCCTTTAAGAGTCAGATCCTAGTGTATTGCAGGAGCAGGGTCTGCAGAAGAAAAAATACTGAACCAAAAAGTAAAATAATGTTACTAGATGACAGTACACCAGGTACACCAGGTACACATTTGTCATTACCTGTGACATTCAAAATTTAAGGAAAAGCCTGCTGCACAGCTACTTACTTAGTTAATTCCAGTAGTGTCAGACAAAGACAGAGCTGCATGTGTACTAGTGTGCTTCCTGGAATGATAGCACTTGCCACCTCTGTTCTAATAACTTTTTCTGTCATTTTGTGTACATGAATTCCTAAGAGGTTTACTTGAGTTGTTGATACAATCAATCAGAAATTGACTCACTGGAAAAAAACCCCCAACCATGCAACACATATGCAAAATGCTTTGTTCTGGTGATGTGTATACAAGCAGTAAATCTGCACATGCAGACTTTCCATTGGTGAAAAAGTGAATATTTTTCTTAATATAATTGATTTTTGTTTGGTATGCCTGGCAGGTATTGCTTATGTCTCTAGAACGTAAGCAATTATTTTGGTTCTTGGTTTCTTTAGAAATGGTTGTTACTGAAATCTTTAGCAATGCATCTGCCATTAACACTATAGTGCATTGGTGAAGGATTCTGTAAGATAGAATGTTCAAGCAGCCTGACTTTGTGTTTCCTTGTAGGATTCAACTGAGAGAGAGAGGCAGCTGAGAGAACTGGCCAGCGATCAGACCTCTCGACTGCAAGAGCTGAGGGAAAAACTGACTGCAGCTGCCCTGCAGATCAACCATATACAACAAGAGTAGGGAATTTGTGATTCTTTTTTGTTTGCTTTTCCTTTGTCAACAACCCACATATTTCTTTTGTCATCTAAATATTAATGGAGATTTGTAAAATGTTTCATTTATGGTTTAAAGTCAGAGCTTTGAAAATACACCGAGGCTCTGTATCGTGTATATGTATCCAGAGTGGGGTACAAATAATACAGTCATGCCTGCATTCATAAATTGGCTTGGTAGGTTTTGCTTTTGGGAGAGGAGCTGGAAACATGCCAGTATTCTGCATAAAAGTGCATGATTATCCCAGTGGCCTTAGTCAATGAACTTGCATGCTGAGCAAACCTTGATTAAAAAATTGAGTACCTATAATGCAACATTTATTGAAGAACATAATTAACATTTCATAATTGTGGTATAGAATTGGTATGTAAGTATCCAAGAAGATAAAAAGCACTGTGGTGAGATGCAGGAAGACAGTTTGATTTCCAAAGAAGTGACTAGGACTGAACAGTTTTTGCCTAGTTGCATAAGCCCCATTTTGTGAAGCACTGTAGTCTTAAAATTATTAAATTGTTTCAGATACAAATTTGTGCAGTTAATGACAGTTCCATGGCCATTTTAGAGGTAGCTCCAAATGGCAGACACCTTCTTGTTCATCCTGTTAGCATGAGAACAATGAACCTTCACAAGTCTTGGGTCAGTACAGTATGTGATGTATTTTCATGCCCTTAGTAAGAGATTAAGGGAGGTGATTCTGCTCCTGTACTCAGTGCTGGTGAGGCCACACCTTGAGTACTGTGTGCAGTTCTGGGCCCCTCAGTTCAAGAAGGATATTGAGGTGCTGGAGCAGGACCAGAGAGGAGCAACGAGGCTGGTGAAGTGCCATGGTCTAGTAACCACGGTAGGGTTGGATTCAATGATCTCTGAGGTCAGGTCTTTTCTGGTTGATTCTATGATTCTATGATTCCAAGAATATTGGTTTGATTTTCCTCCATACCTTTCTCTAGAATTCATTTTCCCCAAATCTACTTTTCCTTCCCAGTTTTTCTTTACAGTAGAACTGTTTAGCCCACTTTTACTAGTACTCTGCTAGAAGTACTTTGTGAAGGAGCTGGCTAGGGTGTCCATGGGATTGTAATAGTATCTACAGCTTTTCATACTCAGGTTGGAGAATATTGGTTTGATTTTCCTCCATACCTTTCTCTAGAATTCATTTTCCCCAAATCTACTTTTCCTTCCCAGTTTTTCTTTACAGTAGAACTGTTTAGCCCACTTTTACTAGTACTCTGCTAGAAGTACTTTGTGAAGGAGCTGGCTAGGGTGTCCATGGGATTGTAATAGTATCTACAGCTTTTCATACTCAGGTTGGAAGGACAGTCTTTCCTCTTAGCAGGTGTGCTGGCCTTATTACCTGTGCTCCACTCAGTCAGCCTGCTCCTCAAAAAGTCAGAAGGGGAAACTTGTCAATTGATAGGTGTTACAGCTTTCGTTGGTTCAGATCCTCAAAAATCTCACCGGGGTCCTTCAGTAAAGAAAAGGAGGGACCGCCTTACCTACAATATAAATGGAAGCATATTTCATTACAGGAAAACAACTGTAATACCTGTATTTGGAGGGAAAGAAGAGATGTTGGGATTCTTTTTAATATTATGTAAGAGTAAAGGACAGAAGATAAACTTGCTTAACTGGTTGTCTGCCAATGTTTAAGAACACTGCTTCTCTTGGGGAGAGCAGGAGAGGACTCCTTGCCTTTTGAGATGACTTGAATAGCTGGTAATATCCTTTGACTGACTGATATCTTCCAGCAAAGAAAAGAGCCCAAGTACCTGACATAAGAAAACACCTAGGTAAGAACCTAGGTGTTCCTACAGATAAAGAAATCTGTGGGAAAGAAAACTGAGGTGATATAGTTAACATCTTAAATATGAGAACGAAGCCAGTTTCTTTTAGACCTCATCATCTGAGCTACTGCAAAGACACTAAATGTTAAACAGTGGTTTCTCCCATAACAGACTATAGTGTATGCACTCTCCTGCCACAGTATGCTTTTACATTTTAAAGTGAGATTTAAGAGTCTGCTTTGGAGTATGCTTTTTTAAACTCTTGATTTCCCCTGTATTTTTCAGCATGAGGAGCTTGCTCAATAATTTTCATATTTTTCTGCTCCTTTTGTTTGATGAGGAAGATGAATTGATAGATGGTTTACATTGGTAGAAGGACATCTTGTGACTGACTTTATTCTGTGTGATTTAGTCTGAAGACTTCCTGCGCTGAAGACAAGGATGCCCTGAGGAAGTTAGAGCATCTGAATGACTGTAATCAGCAGATTCAAATACTGCGGGATGAGATTTCTGTCTTGGATGCCCAAAAGTCTGTTCTCCAGAGCAGGTAGAGGTTTTTATTCAGAGAAGTCATTGAATCATAGAGTGTTCATGTTAAGTAGCATGAATTCCTTCCTCAACAAAAGCTAAGCTTTTGTACTTTATTATGAAGGAACATTAAACTCCTTAGCTGATGCCTCCTACTGCCCAAATATTTTAATTCGAGGCAGCTATGTTAAGTTTCTGGTAAAACAGCAAAGAATGAAGGTTTGCAAAATACACTGAGAGCAACTGTACAGAATAAAAAGAGATGGTTAGTTTTTTTTATTGATGAGTCTTCTTTGAACACGGTACCAGTACAGGGCAGAACTTGTCTCACTTGACTTCAGTGGTACTGAAAGAGGAACAGATCTCCAAAATATTACTAGCTAAAAGTGTATTTCCTCAGAACAAAGTGCTTGGCTGTACACACTTTGGGAATTACTTTAATTTGATTGTTTAGGCTCTAGCCCATTAAATGTATTGACACAAATGCCTTCATATTAGACTAACCAGCTGCAGCTTCTTTAATTACATTGGCTCAAAATCTCAGCTCACCCTGGTAAAAATTAAATTGACACAAAACTCTGCCCTAAGGAAGAACGTCTGAGGATGGTGAAGTGACCTCATGCTTCTTTACACGTGTGTCATAGGATTGCACGGAGCCACTCTCCTTTCTCCAGGCACAGTGGGAGCAGGTCCCCCCGTTCCCTGTCCCACAGGAGCTGGTCTCCCGGCCAAGCCCGGCGTACAAACGCTTCGCGCCGCGCCTGCCTCGTAGCTCGCTTCAGTGACATCTACGCTCAGGAGCGCTTGGATGCAGAGACCCTTTTAAGGACATACATCAGTGACGTGGAGATGGTACAGAGGATAATATACATTGCAGCTGTGGTAAGAAAGAAATCATATTTCTTATTTTACAGGCCAGGAGTGTTTTATAAAAAATATCTGGATTGTGTGTAAATTAGCATTTCTGTCAAGCACAGAGAAGAAAATTATTCTTTATTGCTTTTTCACATTCTACACTGAAGTCTCAACATTGGAACAGGATCAGTGATCTATAGTACTGATACTGAAAAGACTGAATGGCTCTGAAAGGTACATGATTCCTTGCCTAATCAGCACCACCTCACCTAGATGAATTTTTTTGGGAATACTGCATTTTAGAAAGCTAAAAATCTTTCCACATCATGCATTCCTCTTGTCTGTAGCTATGTGTTTCTCTAGTTTCATTGGATGCCTTGAAGCTGCCTAGATACCTCATATTTACTATGAGCTCAGTCTGAAGAAAAGTTATTTTCATTTTTCTGTACTTAATCTTCTTTTCCATAAACATGGTGTAGTACATGCCTGTGTCAGACAGGCAGAGTATCTCTTAGTGTGATACCAAGCACATTTAACGTACTGAAGACTTTTTACTCCAGCTGTCGTTCAGTTTACACCCTCCAATTCAACCTTTTTCCCCAGCAGACAAGAGGTGCTCCTGTCTGATGTGTTAGGCTGTGGCATGTAAAATGCTATTTCTATTTATCTTTGAATGTGATTGCTTTGATTGTGGGTGTGTGATGGAATCCTATGCAAATACAGAAGGTTAGGTGGGAAGCTTTTCATTCCTGTCTTCTGCAAATAAATCACACTCAACTTAATCAGAGAATTCCTCCCAGATGAGTACTATTTTTAACTTTCCCTTTTACAGCAGTGCTTTGTATTCCTCCTTATGATGATGATACTGGTTTAAGTTCCTTTTCTCAGCTAACTGATAAAAATGAATCTCAGTCTTCTGGATTTAACTAGATGTTCTGTTTGCAGGAATCTTTTCATGCAGCAAAGATGGCCTACAGGCAGTTCAAAATGCGTGTAAGAGAGATTCTGTCCTTAGGTCACTCAGGACCTGAGTCACTTGAAGACGCTGTCCTGGATTATATAGTTCGCCATGAGGACCTGTATGACGTTCGAGCCAGTGTCAATGTAAGCCAAGGGCAGTGGGGAAGTGACAGGAGCTAATAAATTCAGAATGTGTAAACTAGAAATGCTCTGTAACCTGAAGAAGGAAAAATTTATCATATGGATTTTGTCTTGCAGCAGTTTACTTTCCAAATTAATATTGCAGTATGGCCTAGTAATTGCTTGTTTTATTTGTCTGTGACTGGAATGTCTCTGCACATATAATATTTTTTGTAAGATAAAGTATTAATCAAATAAATATTTTTCTTGAATTTTGTGCTTTACTGAAAAGCTGCATCAGCTTCCTAAGATTGATGTCAATAATGTAGCTCATGCTTCATTTCTAAAATAACAGCACATTCTTTCTGAAGCTAGTGTTTTCTAGAATAGTCTCAGGCACCATTCCTGTGAGCTTTATACTGATTTTTAAATGTAGAGAGCTGAGAGGCATATTTAGGAGGGATTTCCATACTTGCCTGTGAATAAAATTGTTAGTGAGTGCAAATTACTCAAATGTGTTTATTTTCAGGACGTAATTCTCTCCATGAACATCAACCCAAAGATTTCATGTCCACCAGAAATTGATTTCATTGTGATCAGCACTTTGATTCAAGAGTTGTGCTGTGTGGCTTTTTCAATGCAGACACTCATTCCTCCTCTTGATGTTGCCTTTGGTATTGATGGAGAACTTTTCAGTGAGACCAAGTAAGAACTCTTTATTTTCAATCAGATTCTCACACCTGATGGATCTTTTTAATAGTGTAATCTACTTGATTTCTAATTAATATAAAGGTTTTTGATTGCCAAACACTAATTTAGGGCAAATATTCCTGCTCTGTAGAAAATTTGGTATGTCTTTAAGGTTTATGATAGTGTATAAAGGCCAGGATGTATGCAGTGTTAACTTTTTTTTAATGAAGAGCAGAAAACTTTTCTGGATAAACTTCAGTCTCTAGAGCATATTTAATTTATTTAAGAGGAAATTAATCCTCAACTTTCCTTTCCTTGTTTAGTACCTATCTGCTTTTTATAAAATGTTTGCATCTTTGTCCCTCCTTTCTGGCCTGTGCTGTAAAAGTCCTGTTTACTGGCAGTTGGTGTCTGTTACCAGGATTGTCACCGTGTTTGCTGCTACCTCCAGGCTGTGACTGCTGTACAGCATGTGAATATTAATATGCTCCTATCTCTTCTGGTTTAGAACTGAGGAAAAAAAAAACCCTAGTCTTTTAAAAATGGGAATTTTGTTAAAAAAATTCACACCATAACATGGTTTTCCTTTTTGCTGTAGGGTCAGGGCTGGCTGGTTTGTTAGCTGGCAGAGAACTGTAGGGTGCTTCCATGCCTTCTAGAAAATTAATGGAATTGATAGCTCTGCAAAAAAATTGCTTTCAAAAGAAAAAAACCCCTACATCAATAAGGAGGTTTCTAATAATAATTTAAAATAGTATGGAACCCAGGTGGAGAAGAGCTTGAGAAGCCAAGGAGACAAATAGAAAAGAGTAGCCTTGCAAGAGGAGAGTGCAAAGTCACAGAGGACTGCTCAATGATCCTGTCCAAATGCAGTTAGCTGTTTGGTACTCAGAGCTGTTGGCTGAATTAAGAAGGCAGCAGTGCTGTGGTATAGTCTTGGGATGCTTTCTCCACCCACTTGATGTGTGTGACCTTCAAGAAACATGTAATGTGTTTATATGTGCTGCAATGGGTGACACATACTCACACCTATCTATTTATGTGGATAAATGTGGCATATATATATATGTTTACAAGTACAGCATGTGTATGTGGTACACAGAGATGGAACAAAACTTGTAGAAATTAAAATAGCTCCATTAGTTATGTGATAACATTCTATAAAGGGCTGGACAAACTCATGTATCCTATACCTTGCTTCATGCCTCTGTTTGCAGCATTGTTTTATACAGGTTGCTGTTGAAATACGTTACTAAAGTAGAGAAGCATTGCTCTATTTTATTTTTGGGTTTTTTGGTATTTATTTTGAGTTTGAATCCACAAAGCCAGACATGCTATTTAGCCAATATTCCAGACTTAGGGAGGTAATATATATCTGGTATATTAATACAGGCCTTCAAAATAATTTCTCTTAGCTAAAAAGTCACTATTTCATTGGCAATATCTGAGGATCTTGCTAATAAAGTTGGCTCATGTCTCAAAGTACTAGGATGTAACTTTATAGTTGAGATAAAGTATTTCTGTAATATCCTTTATAAGAGTCCTGTTTTGGCAAGATATTTCAGGAAGATGGGATGACTATGCCTGCCAAATTGCTGCTCAGATGATTTAAGCTGTCAGTGGTCACAGGGGCCCTGGCTTATGTGGGGCTTATGCAAGCATATGGTCTAGTAGCCTTCTGAAAGTGTGAGAAGGCTTTATTGGAGTGTCTGTCACTATAAGTAGACAGTATGTTCTGCTAAGTCTGTCTTACAAGTGCCTTTCTTGTACAGGATCACTTAAAGCGTACTTAATTCTGTGATACAGAAATATTGTCAAGCAAGTTGTTAGAGTTGTAGCTAGTGTTCTGCTTTTAATCAGCATTGATGACTTGAAACATATTTATCTTTTGGCACTTATACCCTGACATTCCTTGTGCTCTGTGTTTCAACAGGTACTATCGCAGTTTCGACTCAGATTACACAGCAGCCTTGGTGGCCTATCACGTATGGCCTGCTCTGATGGAAAATAGTATTGTAATTGCGAAAGGAGAGGCAGTAACTAAAAGAGGAGCTCTGGTGTGTATTTTGTAAAAGAATATCTGAAGGGAAATTGTTTGGTTTCAACACTTTTTAAAATTTAAATGATAGATTTGTAACTGTTCCCCGTATAGGTGGAGTTGTATACCAAAGATAAGTTAGGTTTCAATGCCCCATCCTGTATTTAGGATGAATAGTTCCATTTTCCTTCACGTATTAATTCTGCAGATGTATGATTGTTGGTAGAGCCTGTTCTAAGGAGAAAGTTTACTGTGTTTACTCTCTGTCCTCAAGTCTTGTCTCCAGCATGGCAAGTCTGTTTGCAGAGTCTGTCTTTATTAAACCCCCTCTCTCAAAAGAGGTTTGTCAAATTCCTTTCTTGTAGTAGTCTTGCAGAAGTAGAATTAGAAGCAGAAGCTGTAGCACCCGTCCTCTTCTATCTTGTCTTGTAAACCTGAATGCTTGTAGTATTAGCAGCATCAAGTATTTTAACTCTGAATGTAGGCAGCCTATTAAAAATGCTGATGTGCCATATGTACCTTTTAACATGGGGAATAAATGCCTTTGCTGGGTCTTGGATGAGCTGAAGCTGAACTGACAGATAGTTATTGCCTCATATAATGATCAGTGGAAATACTTCCTGAGAAACAGATCATACTTAAATTTTCAGGAGTATTGACAGTGTACCTTGGAATGCTTTCCCCCTAGTCCTGTTTGCTTCAGTACCCTTCTGAATAACTAATTGCATTATCCTGCAGTACATACACAGAACACAGTCCCTGCTTCCTGAAATTAGTAACCTCAATTTACCCTCTAATGCCTCAAAGGAGCAGAAAATCAGTATGGGGTGAGCAGGAGGGAAAGAACTGAGCTTGTACTAATCAGATATGTGAAACCTTAGCAGAGTTCTGCATATGATATAGTTAAACCACATTTTTAATTATTACTGTAAAAGTAGAGTATATTTTTCTAATTGTTAGCCCATCTTATTAAATGGACATAGGTGCCTTCAGCTTAAAATGTGAATATTGAAAGGGTGAGGGGCTCTGGGTAAGGTTCACTTTTTTTGTGTGTGTGCAGGGTGTGAAAGAAACTAGAAAGTTTTCTGAATGTTGATGGGTCCCCAGGTGGATTTTTTGGGTATTGTTCTTTAGCACATCTGAGTTTCCTTTTCTGTTTGTCTTGCAGTTGTCTCGAAGCCGCAGTTCTTCACCACTGAGGAGCAGAAGCCCAAGTAAGCAGGCATATTAGTTCATAATGACTCGTGGTTTTCACATTAAGTTCTTGCAAGATTGAGCAAAGAGGCACAATAACATGCTGAAGATTTTTGTCTCTAAAGTACTTGTCCATGTCTTATTTTTAAAATGGGTAGCTCCTTTTGTTTCTGTGTGTGAAAAAAGGCTGAAATTTCTGACTTGGGGGAGAACTTGTTTTTAACTCTACTCAGACCACTGTGAGTTCTCTCTGCTGGTTGCCTTCATTGTGGTCAGTTCTATAACGTGTAAAATTTGCTCCCTTCC